CAGATGTCATCAACAAATGGACAAGGCACTGCCGCCGAAGGCTCTAATCCAATAAAGGAATAGAACTGGCCAAGTCCACTGAACGACATTTCAAGCAGCAGTTGCCCCCGGCATTTCACTAAACACCGAGGGAATGCACCCAAGCATTGCCCGAGGGCGTATGTCTTTTTCATGCTATTCTTGGACTACAAAATTTGCTAAGTCCACACTTGGGGAACCTGACAATAGCCGAAGGCTATCATAGTCCACACATTACCGAGGGCCAGTCTCACAGGTCAAGGGAAAGTACTCTTGCCAAGGGAAATCTTCCCTAAAAAGGCCACAATCCTGAAGGCTCCCTTTACCGAAGGCCAGATGATTTTCAAACACTCAGAAACTTCGGTCAACTAATCATACAGCCGAAGGCCAAGTGGCAGGCTAACACTTAGAAAATTTTCTAAGTCCTAAAACGTGTGGCCCTCGGCCAACTCACATGGCAACGAAGGCCACTCCACTTCATACAATAAGGAGTGCCTACTAACCGAAGGCTAGGCAGCTGGTTCATACTTAGAAAAATTTCTAAGTCCTAAGGCTGGCCCCATATCAAATTATCACTCGGCCGGAGGCACACCCACAGGAATACTCTCACAATCACTCGAAGGCTTCTATCTCATACTATCCGAAGGCTCGATGTCTAAATTACACTCAGAAAATTTATAAGTCCTAAATGGTTTGCCCTCGGGCAACTCAGGAAGGCCACACAGAAACAGAGGGGAGCTATCAGCTGAAGGCTGCCAGTGATAACACTACACTTAGAAACTTTTTCTAAGTCCCAAAGATTGGGACCTCGGTGGAGTGCGCCCCGAAGGTGGATTGCGCCCCGAAGGTGGAGTGCTCGTCCACAATCACCACCGGGGAATCTTTCTTCGTGGCATCCCCTTTCTTGACTTCTTGCTAGCAAGGGGGGCATCCTTGGCCACCACCTTCCTCTTCCCGACGGCGTCGCCAGCATCGGTAGCAGGGGCCGTCGGCGGGCCCTCGGACTTCTTAAAGAAATCACCGGCGGGCTTCTGGATGCCCACATCCGTCCCTTTCAGATTTTTTAAGGACTTCTTCTTCAGACCAACGAGCCCTTTGACATTCATCTTGGATACCGGGATACCTGCAAAACAATAAGGGTTTAGGCCGACGGGTCATCAATAAAAGGACAATGACATGAAAGTACAAGAAGAGAATAAAAATATATATATACTAAGTACGAAAATTGAATGCCCTCGGCTACTACCTCCTAAACCCCTGGAGGCTCCATCAAGCATCGGGTACTTTTCATCTGTTTCCCCCAGGAAACGATACCGCCGGAACCCGAGGGCATACAGATTCTCCTCGAGGGTGAACTCGTTGATCGTGACGTTCTTGTTGCGCCCCTCCGAGATCTTGGCGAGCTTCAGGCCATCTTTCTTGAGGGCGACACTTCTTATCTTCTCATGCCGCCTGAAACGGTCCCGCAATTCCCTCGGGAAGGGGCTCTCAGCTAGCATGACGTAGCACCATCGCTCCTTCCAGCCTTTGTTTGAGGAGGGCGCCTCGGTGAACAACTTCCACTGGGCTACCTGCTGCAGATTCGCAAACCCCTCGGCGTTTGCATGGCCCCCTCGGCAGATATTGAAGCTCTGGAAGAATTGGTCCGAGCTGGGGGCCACCCCCCGGGTTCGGCAGAGGTGAAGGAAGCCGGTGATGTAGGAATGGCTGTTGGGCGTGAGTTGACAAGGAAGCAAACCTACATACCGAAGGTACTCATGAAGAAACAGGTGCAAGGGGAACCGGAGGCCCATGGCGACCGAGAGGATATGCACCGATATACACCCTTCGGGAGCTAGGGAGAGGAGGTCATCTGGTCCCGGCATTATCACAATAGCCGATGGCCCAACGTGCAGCTGGGTGACATAGTAGTCCGCCCCATCAGCCTTCGAATTTATCTCGAGGGTGGCGGTATTAAGGAAGGAATAACCCTCGGGCATATCGACGGGTTTCCCTTGGTCAGCAACGCTGCCCTTCTTCTTGGGGGTGGCAGCCTTCGCCTTCTTCTTCTCGGGGGCCACCCGGAGAGGTGTCGGGTTCAATGGCCGAGAGGTGCTGGCTTCACCGGCATCGCGAGGGGGAAGAATAGCGACAGTCACCCTCATTCTCTCCTACTCCTCTTCCTCCTCAGCAGTCTGCATAGCGAAGGTGAGCTCCTCGTCCTGCATCACCTGCTCGAAGTCCTCGGCCTCGGCTTCGGTGACGAGGACCTTCTGCATCTCCACAGCCACAGCAGCATCGTCACCAGTCGAAGGCTCGCTTATGGATTCCACATCGGAAACCTCTTCATCAACAATCGAGGGCTTCCTCGAGATGTCTTGTGAATCGCTTTGGGATGACATTTCTTACACTAAAGCAGAAGGGTTTCTAAAACCGAAGGCTTCCTAACCAACCCTAGCACTTAACCTAAGGCAGGAAAGACTAAGTATGCAGCTGAAGGAGAACCGGGGGAAGAACTAACCTTGAGCACTTGGTTTAACCGAACGGGATTTTCTCTCTCTAGAAATCAAGCGGCCAGAGCTTCGCTACAGTGTGATCGCGCAAGAAAAATGGCCCTGGCCATGGGGTATTTATAGGCGCCCAGATCCGGGCTTGGGCCTAAAAACCGGGCCTTCGGTTACAAAATCATCATTACATACCGTCGTTTCACCCAACCAGTGACGCCCGCCCGCAGGCAGCCAACGGCCACGCGCCACGTGTACTCCCCCTCCAACGGTCATATTACAATGGCTATATTCAGGGAACCCAAGGGCACGCCCTCAGCAGGCCACTCCTTCATTAACCAAAAAACTAGCCCCCGGGCTTTCTCCTTCACTCCACATCATCAAGAGGAGCTCCCGGGTACACTTATCCAGAGGTGCTCCCGGCCTGTGCCCCTCATACTACATCACAGGTGCCTTCGGGAGCCCATGGCTTCACAACGGGCACACCCCTCGGAAACACTCAGCGCTCAAACACATTGAGGACCACGTAACCCCCGGGGAGCACACCTTCATCAACAGTTACCCCCTGCTACACAACAAGGAAACCCCCCGGGGTACCAAGGCCCTCAACTTATTAACAAATAGGGGACCCCTCGACAACACAGGAAATATCACCTACATTCATCGCGCCTTCATTCCCATGAACAGAGGGCTCCCATTCGGCATCTCCCAGGATATCAACAAGCGCGCCTTCGGCAAAGCAACACACGCACCCTCAGACCCCCTGCACTCTTTTTCCCTCATTAGAATTTTTTCCCACAGGGTCTTTTCTAATGAGGTTTTTAACGAGGAATCCCCCAAAAATGAAACGAAAAGCGTCCCCCCTCGGCTCCATATTGCAGGCAAGCGCTACTCTACTCCTTTTCATCACTTTACAAGTGCCTCAAGGAGTGGGGGACTGGAGAACCCCTTCGGGAAAAATCTCAAAATACAAAAATATCAAAAAACTCCCACAACAACAAACATGATCCCTCAAGTCCCGGAATGTGGGTAACAGAGGGACTGCCCTCGGCTGAAACATGCAAACAACAAACTACTCACAAACTTTACAAACTACAACGGAACAACGGCAGAGGACAAACACAATTACTCTTTTTCCCTCAAGTACCTTTCGGCAAAAGGAGTGAGGGACTCGTGATGGAGTATATGGCCCAGGGACCCCCAGCCCATAGACTCCTACTCCTCTAAACCAAGGCCCGATAGGCCCAGGAAGCACAACAGGCCCAAATCACAGCCCCCCGAGTACCAAGCAGCCAACAATACACACTGGGGGTGCCTTCGGCCCCTTGGCCGAAGGCTCCTGATACTCACAGAAAGGCTATTTTCACCATACAAAGTTACTGGGAGAAAACGGCGGAAAACAGTAGCCCTCGGCGCCTGGAGCCCTCGACCTTAAGGGGCCTTCGATAGGAAGAGCCCTCGGCTAATCACCTACAGCCGAGGGTACCTTCCTCGACAAGAATATCCTCTCCACATGCGCCTGGGTCGTTGTACCAAGTACAACGTCATATCCAACCGCCGCATTAAATGCGGCCACATGCGAATGCCAGTGACACCCGGTTGATGTGACCCCTCGGCCGTTGGATGCTTGACACGTGTCCCCGTCTCGCATTTATTGCTACAATAAATAGCACCTCATTTCCCCTTTGTAAACCAGATTCGGAATACGCTTTTAACTCATATATTCAATACACTTTCTCTCTCTTACTTGCTCTGACTTCTCTCTAGTTACTCCCCACAGTAACCCTTCGGATACATACCCCCGGGTAGACTATCCATCACATATCTTTCATGTGCTATCTTTCTCTTTAAGAGAAATTGAAATGTTTTCTTAGAAAAGAGAAATCACGTGGATACCAGTGATTAAATAGAAATGACAAATCACGTTGGTATCAATGACTAAAGATTAATTAAACATCATATCAAGGAAATACTCACTTAATTCGAATACATATAGGGAAAATCGCACTTTTAGCACTTGAAATATTCACCATATTGAAATGTCAGACCCGTATTTATGAGATTGTAAATGTCACACCTCAATTGTTCAAATTACTATAATTGTGGTCCTTCAAGGGTGAAGTGTACCCCTCGCTCACATTCTACATTGCACCCCTCAAAGGACCACATTTACATCAATTTGAACAATTGATGCAATTCGAACTCTCACTACAAAAAACAAGCATTTTGCAAAAATACACATGCCTTCATAATTCAATACACATCTTTCATAATTAGATATAACTTCTCGAGAAAAAGAGATTTGCTATCTTTCTCTTAGATAGCAAGATTTAAACGTTTTCATAGAAAGGAGAAATTACGTTAATAACAATGATTAAATCGAAAATAGAATTGGGATACCAATGATTAAAGATTAACTAAACACCCTACCAAGTAAGTACTCACTTAATTCTAATACACATATATATATTATTCATTATCCTTCCAAAGTAAGAGGCCCGTTTAAATAAAATTTTCAATGTCTGTTGTGATACTTTTGGGATGGAATCAGAATCTCTTTCCATCCTAATGTGATCAAAACTCAACTTACATCCTCCCAAATATTTGTCCGATCAGTTCTGGGATCCTCATGGATGGTTAGACCGGGCGTCGTCCTTTTATTACTTGGCAAATAAAAGTAATGCAAGCACTAAGCGCTAACGGATAGAAAACAGCCAGAACTATACATGCAATTATCAATTTATTCCTGATGCCGATGAGTACTCCTGCTCTGCAAGAATTACAATCCAAGCAAAGTTTGCTTTGATCATTGTTCCATCTAGCACAATCAACATCTAGTGCCGGTGTTTGGTTGTTGGTTGCAGTCCAACTCGTTGGGCTCACAAAAGTGAAATTACAACTTTGTAAGGGAATACAACATCCAGCCTGCATACCTAAATGTTTTAATTCATAATAAATTCGTAAAAAATAATAAAAATAGTAGAAAAATAATAAAAAATTAATAAAAAATTTATAAAATAATTTTTTTTCAAAAAATAAAAATTAATAAAATAAACTAAAATATCCATTAAAAAATGACTTAGAAAAGACATATGATAGGGTACCTCGAGAAGTTCTTTGGTGGGTCTTAACTAGAAAAGGCATATCACATAAGTATATCAGCATCATCATTGATATATATGAGGATTGTACTACAAGTGTTCGTACTAGTGTAGGGAGGACTGAGGAGTTCCCTATTACTATCGGAGTGCATCAAGGATCGACTATGAGCCCTTTCTTATTTGTCATAGTCATGGATGAACTTATGAACTCAATTCAAGACGATATACCGTGGTGCATGATGTTTGCCGACGATATTGTATTAATTGATGAGTCACAATAAGGTCTTAAAGAAAGGTTGGAAGTATGACGACAAACATTGGAGAACAAGGGTTTGAGGCTAAGTCGTAGCAAGACAGAGTGCATGGAGTGCAAGTTTGATGGAGGTAGAAGCATAGGTAACAACGGAATTACTCTAGATGGTAAGGAGATACCGGTCACTGATATGTTCCGTTACTTGAGCTCCATAATTCAGAAGGACAGTGAGTTAGATGGAGATGTATCCCATAAAATCAGAACAGGGTGGATGAAAGGGAAGAGTGCGTCAGGATTTCTATGCGATCGAGGTATGCCGACTAGACTGAAGGGTAAATTTTATAGGACATCAATTAGGCCTGCATTACTGTATGACGTAGAGTGTTGGGCGGTGAAACGTACAATGTCACATCAAAAGATGAGTGTGGGAGAGATGTGCATGTTGCGTTTGATGTGTGGGCATATTAGGAAGGTCTGCGTGAGGAATGAGATAATCAGACAAAGGTGGAAGTAGCACCTATGTGGTGGTTTGGTCATGTGCGTAGAAGACAGAGTGATGCACATGTTAGACGAGTTGAGATGTGTGGAGAAGAGGCAGGGAAGAGAGAGAGAAAGACCCAAATAGACGTGGGTTAGGTGAGTCCGAAGTGATGTGCTTCTTCTCGGGTTGGACGAGGGTATGACTTTGGAGACATAAAAGTGGAGGGCAGGTATTAGTGTGGAGCGGTGATCTTGTATCATCTTTTCTCCTCATCGTTTTTTTCCTTGTTTTTTATCCTTTTATCCATATATATATATATATATGGATTGAAATATATATATATATATAAACATTATTTTATCCTTTTTAGGAAAGAGAAAGGGGTAATGGTAATAAAAGTGGGGGTATAAAGGTATTTTGATTGAAAAAACTTACCAAAAAGGGAAAGAGGACAAATAATTAAAAATATCCCAAAAAGGAATGCGAGACAGTTAATAAAGAACGAAGAGTATATAGCATCATGATCACCTGTAAGGGGGTGAGGTTTGTAGCATAAAGTTGTTGAGACGAGGAGAAAGACGATGTCCGCTTCAAGTCGCCGCACGGACCATCGGAAATGCCCATACAAGTTGTGATTCCGTCCCACTTAATCTCATTGCTAACCCTACCGCGAAGCCAGGAATCGAATGAATGGAAACGGTATTCCACGTAACCTCGACCCGGCGCCTTCTCGGTGGTGCCCGAGTATCTGGACCGCACCGAGAGGATAATGATTAAAGGAAACATGAGTACTAAGCATATACACATAACCATGGTGTAACCTGCGTTACACTTGGTCTCATCACACCCGGCTCCCCAGCACCCAATGATGCCCGACACGAGCATTGCGATTCCACAAAAGACAACCCACTCTAAGAGGTCGTCCTTGTTCTTCACACAAGAAGTGCTGGTCATCGCCCAAGCGCCGACCACAATAATGGGGATAGCGAGAAATATGGTTGCAATGGACATGCCTATGGCAATATTTTTTTTAGTTTCTCGCCGCATTTTTTTAATTTTGATATATATGTGGCTCGATCGATCTTGACTGCGTAAATCTCTACTTAGCTTTAATTTTCTGCATATATTTATATGAGAAAGACGGGTGGACTTAGAACCTAAGAACGAAATTGCATAAGCCCTGGCCGGACAATTAAAAGCAATTATACACAAAAAGGGTGGCAGTGTTTGCTGGGAGTTGCGACCCAGTTGTTATACCGTGGGAGCAGCCCACCGTGAGCATGCTGCTCCCACAGACAAAAATACGCGTGTTTTTCCAGTGTCCAGTAGCAGAGTAATGTAACCCGCGTGTAAAGAAATGTAACTCACGCTGATCAGAAATGTAACTGCAGGCAAGTCCAAATGTAACTTGTCTCATACGAACTATAAGAAATAAAACATTGATTTCCTTGAAACAAGTAGTCTAATTGCTCAATTATTTTACGTAAATACTGAATATGTTTTGTTTTTAATATTAAGACCATAAATAATTTTTTCCCTTAAAATCAGTTTTTTTTTTGCCAAAAAATCATTTTTTTGCAAAAAAATCATTTTTCCGCCATTTTTTTCCCTTGCAAAAAACTCGTTTTTTTGTTTCAATAGCATGTGTTTACTTAAATAGTGAATATGTTCTGCCAAAAAATAATTTTTTTTAAATCACTCTTTTGCTAAAGAAATCATTTTTTGCCTTGTTTGGTAAAAAATGATTTTTTTGTTTCAATAGTAGAGCTTTATGTTGCGATGTAACTTATGTTATAGAAAATGTAACTCACGTTGATGAAAAATCTAACTTAGGTCAATGTAAAATGTAACTTGTTAAGGTAAGTCCAAATGTAACTCGTGTAAAGGAAGATGTAACTCACGCATAAAAAGATGTAACCTGCGCATAAGAAGATGTAACTTCATATACTATCAAATGTAAACAATGAAAACATGAAGTCTAATTGCTTAAATTTTTTTAACGTAAATAGTTAGTATGTTTTGTTTTTTGTATTAAGGCCATAAAAATGTTTCAAAGAAAAATAATATTTTTTGCCACAAATATTAATTTTTTTTGCTGCAAAATCATTTTTTTCCAAAAAAAAATCATTTTTGTTTGCAAAAAAAATTATTTTTTGGTTTCAATGGATGGATTTATTTCGTGATGTAACTCGTGTTATGAAAACATGTAACTCATGCTAAAAAAATCTAAATTAGGTGTATGCAAAATATAGCTTGTTGAGACAAGTCTAAATGTAATTCGTGTATAAGAAGATGTAACTCATGGACAACAAGATGTAATTCGCCTATAAAAAGATGTAACTTCATATAATATCACATGTAATTCCATAAATTGGCTATAAACATAACTCACACATATGAAAAACGTAATATAATTCATATTTTATGAAATTTAAATCGAAAAAACAAATTTTATGTCTTAAAAAAACTAAAAGCATATCAAAGAGATAAGAAATATATTTTTTTTATAAAGAGATAAAGAAATATTTTATAGAAAAAAAATTATGAACATGAAGATAATGAAGTTTTTTAGATGAATTATTATGTATTGATAAAGAATAAAAAATAGATTCAATTATAATTTAAGATGAAGATAAAGAAAGTAGGATTGCAATTAAATTTTTAGTATTTTAATTTGATGAAAAAAGAAAAGAATTGAACAAAAGAAAAAAAAATGAAAAGCAAAGGAAAAGGAAATAACAAAGTTGGAGACAAAGGAAGTGGGAAAAGGAAAGCAACGTAACTTTCCTAAAAGTGGGATCGGCACACCATGCGGAAGGTGGGCCGATCCCACGGTATAATTTGCGGTTGCGACCTTTCCAGATCATACCAAGTGATTAGTGATTCATTAATGATTATACTTGGTAAAGAAGTCAATCGGGTATTAATCATCAATGTTTTTTTAAAGAAAAAACTTGGCTTCACTTGCTAAATGTTTTCCAATGCACACAACAAAAAATTCAAAAAGTTAAAATGCATAAATAATGCCTTGTTTAGTACTTTGGCATAATGTTGCATTTCGGCATCTTGCCTTTTAGATGAATGAAAGAAATTAAAACAATACCATAACTATAATTATATTTGAATGTTTCACCTGACATTATCATTATTCAAATTTTTCGGTCAAAAAATCTTATGTGGTAGCCAATACCGGTCCACTCTATAATATAATGATGACATTGTTAAAAGTAAAAATGCAAATGAGAGTATAGTTACGTGAAATAATGGAAAATATATATATTCCAATAAGATTCCTAACAAATATATTTATAATATAGAGAGTTGCCAAAATTACAATTATTCCTAGTTTAATATTAGACTATTACACCCCTCAAATTGTGCAGGAGATACAACACGTATGTTGTCTTTTAAAAAATGAAATTGGTGACTCGAAAGACTCTTAGGAAATATAGCCGCCAGCTGAAGACTAGTAGACACATATTTGACAATCACATCTTCATGAGCCACACACTCACACACAAAGTGGTAATCTATCTGGATAAATATGCTTGCTCTGAGCATGCTGAACTAGATTTGCAGTCAAGTAATTAAGAAACATATATATTGTCACAGAAGAGATGAACAGTTGCTGTGACAGGGAATCCATGCTCGGACATATTAGATAGAATATGCAATGTGTCCTGGACAGTGTAAACAATGACACGATACGTACTCCGCTTTTGTAGAAGATTTGGAGATAGTAGATTGTTTCTTGGAATTCCAAGATACGAGATTATTTCATAGGAAAACAACAAAGTCATTGGTTGAACGAGAAGTATCTGGACAACCACCCCAATCAACATCCGAGTACGCAACAATGCATGTGGCCTTACGCGTGGGCTGAAGCCACATACCATGCATGATCTAGACCCTGCATGGAAAATTCTCTTGACTGCAAAAAGGTGAGTAGTACGAGAAGCGTGCATAAATTGAGAAACTAAATGCACTGCACAAGTAATATCAGGTCTTGTCAAAGACTAGTAGACACATATTTGACAATCAGATCTTTATGAGCCACATGCTCACGCACAAAGTGATAATCTATCTTGATATGCTTGCTCCGAGCATGCTGAACTGGATTTGCAGTGAAGTAAAAAACAAGCGAATTAGTGCTCCGAGCATGCTTTTTGAAGGCTAAAATTGTAAAATAATCATTTAATCCCTTATTTATTTAAAGCTTGTGCCAAACTCACATGCATATCACATCATGTAAAAGGATCAAGAAATTCTGACACCCTAACATCATAAAATGTAATGATACATAAAATGGGTCAAGGGAGGTGGTACTGTTTAAGCAATTTTTTGATATGCTAAAACTAATTAAAAAATAAAATTATATGATGAATGGGTCTCATACAAGAATAATAATGAAGATGACAAGTGAGTGAATAAGAGTGAAAACTTGTGTATCATTCGAATACCAGCTGCCTGGTTACAATGAGGGGAGGCTCTATTCATATGAAGGGTAATTAATGGCCTAGTTGTCCGTTACAGACGGTTTGGCTGTTCCGACCCGACGGTTTCACAACTCGTCATTAATGTTGACCAGCTCAAATTGAGTAACCTCCAGCCTTAATAACGTTACTAATTACAACAATAAATACAAATTAGTTATAACAGTCATTATTAAGCCTCATGGACGTATCATTAACATCTGCGGTCAACCCTCTTTAATGCCACATAAATCGTCAAATTCTTGCTCCAACAATAGCCCCCTTTCGAGAAGTTGACGTGTATGATACACGGATCGGACCCTCAAGTGGCAAGCCGGCAACTTGTCGAAATTTAAACTTCACATAATTGTTCTTTGTGCCTACTGATTCGTCAACGAATCGTCACGATGTGTTGATCCACTCGTCTGGCGAAATGCTTCTGTCCTTCTTTTTGTTAACTTACGATCGAACCAGTCGAGGTTGCTTAAAATAATGAAGAATGAAAACCAACATCTCAACTTCTTGCCTTCAAGATTATGTTGATGACAATGAATTGAAACTTCATCCACAACGATATTAACACTTCGATTGGATGGGGGAACTTTGTCCGTTGCTAGAGATGACGAGTTGGGCTGCATGTACGTAATCCTGCAAACACTGTGAAAATATTGTTGATATGAGTGTTTATTATTTATGTCAATGTCGGTTGTTTTGGAGCTTGTGTTGTCATGCATGCTCTTGGAGCACATGCTTCTGTTGTATATTTATGTAATTTTGGCCAAAACATTGCGGAGAAACGGTGGAGTTTATACTCGTGTTTAGCGTACACGAAAACCCCACTTCTTCCCCTAAAATTCAGTAAGCCCCCCGTCAATTGTGTTTTGACGTGTTGTAAGGCTTTGTATGTTAGGATTCCGTCATCGTCAATTGTTGGTTGTACCTGCATAAAAAAGAATTCGCTAACGCCGGCCGTTGGCCAGAAGCCAGCGGCCCTCTGATGCTAAAGTTAGTGATTGCTTATAAATAAATGAAAGTAATAAATTAAAAGTATGTATACAAAACTAGAGAAATATTTATCATCATAACTTGTCAATTATTAGATGACATGCCCCTTTGTCTGACGATTTCAATCATTTTGTCTTGTCCATCTTATCATGGCGTGACGACTCGTTCCTTAGGTCTTGAATAAGGTTTTCCAGACTTGTAATCATGCCTCCTAGGAGATTCTGATTTCCCGTGCCCGCCTTCATACTGAACTTGTCTGTGACGGGATCGTAAGTATTCTTCTAGACGGATGAAATCCAACGCCTTTGCTTGGACATCTTCGAAGGATTGATAAGGGTGTTTCGTCAGTTCACGGTACAGCTCTGAATCGTCATTTGGGATCGACACCTTCCTTATGTTGAGTCTGTGCAAATAATCTCTAAGTGATTCACCATGCCTCTGTGTTACTTGATACAAGTCGTTGGTCCGTCTTTCCTATATCTTACTGCTCGTGAACTGTCGATTGAAAAGATTGATGAGTTCAGCAAACGAGCCGACGCTCCCATTCGAAAGATTCACAAACCATGTCAAAGCAGGACCGGTCAATGTCATGCCGAATCCACAACACATAC